AATAATAATTCATATGAAATTTTCTTTATAATTAATAAATTAGAAAATCTAATAAAATATAAATATATTTTGTAAAACCGATTTCTTTTCGTGTAATTTTATTACTAATATTATATAGTATATTATTTATATTAAATATTAATTTATGTATTTTTATTTATAATTATATATTTTTTTTAATTAATTAAAGGAACAGAAATAATTTAATAGAAAATGTAAAGAAAAATATATTAGGAATGAAAATAAAGATTAATATCTAAAAAACTTGAATATTCAATATATTTCTTTCATAAATCTAAATTAAAATTTTAATCCAAACATAATATTGTATATCGAGTTAAATTAAACGTTTCAACGTAATATCAAATTGTTGATTTTTTTACAATTAGTAAATCAATATAATTTTATCATATCAGAAAAGACAGAAATATAAAACGGAAAATAATTTCCCAATTCATAAGAATCTGTCGCAATATTAGATTAGAAAAAGAGAGAAGAAAAGAAAACCAGTCTTGCGAATCTCGGTGAAACAAATGTAGCCGAAGGTAGTTAACACGCAACAATCTTGTCCTTGGCTTGTAGACATTAAGTATAAAGGAAACGACCATTACGGGAGCAGATTGAAGAAAACTTCGATGTGCAATCATGCCCGCGAACGAAGAAATTTTAAACATGACTTCGGATCAAATAAGAGACAATTTATTCGGAAAAGCTTGCGATGATAGTATGCAGAACAATTTTGATTGTGAATCTTCTGATGATGATAAAGAGGACTATCAAAATGTTTGCTCACAGTCTATTGTCAAAAAAAATTTCAAAGAAATTTGTAATTACAAAAGTCTTCCAGTACGAGAAATCCATATGAAATTCATGAAAAGCTTCGTTAATTTACTTTTGGAAGAAGCAGTTTTTGAGGTAAGTTCATCGTTGAAATTAATTATTACAGAAATATGATTATTACAAAAAAATGACTTGTTATTAAAATAAACAATATCTGATTTGTTATTTTTAGTTCTGAATTAAGATTTAGTGATAATATTGAGTAATTATATAATAAAAAATATTTAAGATAAAGAAAATTATTTGATTGATTCTCATAAAGTTATTTTATGATGATTCTTTAAGTTAAAAATCACATTGATATTCAATTGCGATAATATCAATTTATTGACTATTATTGATTAAAAAATAAATTTCATTTTTCATATAAATATAATGCAATTTTTTCTTTACTTCCAATTAATAATATGCAATTATTCGTATTAATTTTCAATTTTTATAATAATACAATAGAATATTAATGAATTTTGATAATATTTTTGTTATTGTTATTAAGTAAAAGTTCTTGTTCGTCAAAATAAAAAAATATGGTTTTCAATATAATTTATGTTATATATGAGTGTTTCCAATCACTTTTTTTTATTTTAAAGCCATTCACTTTAAAGTATTCAATTATACATATAAACTTCAAATACATTACTATCATAAAAATTTATTTTTTTTATTTTGTCCTTCTATTTTCATAAATTACATTTATATTTCGTAAAAATATAATTTTCTTTCATTATTTGATTTTTAAAATTAACCAGAGGCATTTAATTTATGTATTCATTATTGAAACAAACATTCATTATTCTTATTTTAGAGAATTTGAATAAGTTAAATATTGTGAAGGCAAAAAATTTTTTTTCAGATTTATTTAATTGATATTGATATAATTATCTAATTTAATTTAAAAAAAATCACTTTAAGTAAGTATTATAAAATTTAATTTTTTTATTCCTGTCATTCAATATGACTCAATTGTTCGTTATGCGAGTTTTTTTGCGCTCATTCACGATTCGTTGTTCAATTCATGGACAAAGAATTACGTTGCAAATAGCATTTATGTTACTATTGCAAGACGAAATATTTACGTAATTTCTATGCTAATATATTAAAATATTTAATAGTTAACTTGTAATTTACATAATATCAGCTTAAATAATCATTTGACATTTCTTACAAATCTACTAGATTCTGAAAAATATTTGAATATTAAAACATTTTTCTTTTTTTCTTTTTCATAAATAATTAATTGTAATTATGTTTCAATAAATGTTAAAAAAAAAATAACAATAGTAAATAGAAATTAAGATTTTGGATAATATAGATTTTTAAAATTTCTATTTTTTTAACTTTAACTTAATTTTTTTCTTCCATATTATTAATTCTAAATTCATCTATAATTAATTCATTTAAAATAAATCTAAAAATATATATAAAATATATAATATATTGTATATTATTTAAATTCGAAAGGAAAAAGATGATGATATTATTATGTATATTATATTATTATTTAAAAATATTAAATAAGATATTTCTTGCATCATACAATAAAATTACCTTTCAGGGCACTTTAAGAAGAAATAGAGTAGTAGAGTGGATAGAACCAACAACACTCCATTCAATAATTGATTTAAAATTATCCGACCAGGGATGCTCTTACGAGACACTTTTGACTCTTGCTCACAATGTGATTAAGTATAGTGTAAAAACAGGTCATCCTCGATTTATAAATCAATTATACTCCAGTGTAGATCCTTACGGTCTTCTTGGACAATGGCTAACCGATGCCTTAAATCCGTCAGTTTATACTTATGAAGTTTCTCCAGTCTTCTCTTTGATGGAAGAGGAAATATTGCGAGAGATGAGAAAAATAGTTGGTTGGAAGGATGATAGAAGTGAAGGAATATTCTGTCCTGGTGGTTCTATCGCTAACGGATATGCAATTAATCTGGCACGCTATTACAAGTACTTTATAACTTTTGAAAATTTATTCTATCAATTAATTCATAAAATTTTAAGTTTTTATGTAATAAAATATAATATAATATGTTTATAGATTTCCTCGATTAAAAGAGCTAGGCTTATTCAATACTGGTAGATTAATAATTTTCACATCCAGAGATGCTCATTATTCTGTGAAGAAACTTAGTGCATTTTTAGGAATAGGTACTGAAAATGTCTATGAAGTGAAAACTGATGATAAAGGAAAGATGTGCGTAACAGATTTGAAAATGCAGATCAAAAAAGCTCTTGAAGAAGACGCAATACCTTTGATGGTCTCTGCTACAGCAGGAACCACAGTTTTAGGTGCCTTTGATCCTTTAAAAAATATAGCTGCCATTTGCAAGAACTACAATCTTTGGTTCCATGTAGATGCAGCTTGGGGAGGAGGAGCTTTGATGTCTAAAAAATATAAATATCTTTTGGATGGTATTGAATTAGCAGATTCTGTTACTTGGAATCCACATAAGTTATTGGCCGCTCCGCAACAATGTTCAACACTATTGCTGCGTCATGAGGGTCTTTTACAAGATGCACATGGTTCAAAAGCCAGTTATCTCTTTCAACCAGATAAATTCTATGACACTTCTTTCGATAGTGGAGACAAACACATTCAATGTGGTCGTAGAGCAGATGTACTAAAATTCTGGTTTATGTGGAAGGCGAAGGGTACTCGAGGTTTAGAGAAACATGTGGATCGAATCTTCAAATTAGCACGATACTTCACAAATTACATAAGACACCGAGAAGGTTTTAAATTGATACTCGAACCTGAGTGCACCAATGTCTGTTTCTGGTACGTGCCACCTTCAAAGCGTCAGTTACAAAATGAAGAATTGTTGAAGGCTCTTCAGAAGATTGGGCCAGCTGTAAAAGAGCGTATGATGAAAAAAGGATCGATGTTAATCACGTACCAACCTTTACGAGAGCTACCTAATTTTTTCAGACTTGTTTTACAAAATTCTGGATTGACAGAGATTGATATGAGATTTTTTGCAGAAGAAATCGAGAGGCTCGCCATTGATTTATAGAATTGATTTTTTTTATAAAATTTTAAATTCTAATAATACAAAATTTCTCATTCAAAGAATTTTTGTTTATAACAGTATAAAATATTTTTTTTAATAATAATCAATTATTTGTTCGATCGATCAAGTATATTATATATAATATTATATATAATTATATATATATAATATTATATATAAATTATATATAATACATTGATAGATTGATTTTCGATTTATTTTTTTTTTAAAACATTATTTCGTGATAAATTTCATGTTTATTTCTTTTAAATTACATTAAGCTTTTATTTCGAAATATGGATTATTTAAATAACAAATACGCTTTTTAAAAAGAAAATTAAAATTAACTACATTATATTAACTTTCATGTAGAATTATACATGACTCAACATCCATTTAATTTCATTTAAATTCT